ACATTATTTTTTACGTTAAAATTGTATTTTATGTAAAGTTAGCACGCGCGGACTGTGCGACCAGGAGTCGAACCCCTGCCGTTTTATCGGAGATATCTCGATTATAGAAGGCCAAACCACATCACTGGCCGACTCCCTCTACTTTGCAATTGAGGTGTCGTGTGTGCTTTTCGCGTGGGAAACGAAAAACCGTCCGGTCAATGTGCGTGAAGTGCGACGTCGGACTCTGGATTTCCCGATGTTTCCAAGATTTCCAAACGAAACCAACATCGCGTTAGACGACTCAGGTGGGAAGAGAGACAACTTATAAAGCTGGTGACCAAAAATCATGTAAGTAGAAAGAGAATTTATAACTTAAAATTAGATTTTAAAAAGCCGGCCGCACGCGTGGACTGCGCGACGACATATGCCGTCATTCATACCGCTGCCTTTATTTTTGCGACGACATACGTTGTCTTTAGTCGTTTAAAGGTTAAGCAACAGTTTTTCATCTTATTACCAGATATCAGGGAAGTGAGGCAATGCACTGCATGTGCAATGGTAATAAGTATTGCAAAATTGACAAAACCGTTTGTACTTCCAGAATAATCAACATGCTACTGAATCCCTGTCAAATCACATGGTTCTTAAATATCACTAAATGATTCAAAGAATATGGGGAAATTGCATAAATAATAGCATTTCTTTCCATATTTGTTGCAACACATAAAAGTTGTCTCATTTTTATTCAACAAAATCAATCATCCAAATATATAAAAACAGAAATTTGGGAGTGCTGTCCCTTTCCTTCGAATAAATAACGAATTGTATGATTTGAGGTTTTCACGGTGGTGACATTAGAGAGAGCAGTCTTCTGGGATATGGCACTGTGTAGATATTGTGTTAACCAACGTTTCGGAGGAACATATCACCTCCATCCACCTGCTCATGCTGCATCTTCACTTGCATATTCTCTTCTTTTTTCTTCTACCCTGAAGATGGAGGTGACACACTCCTCTGAAATGTCAGTTAACACAATATCTACACGGTGCCACATCCCAGAAGACTTCTTTCTTCAAATAATGAATTTATTGTTAAATATAACAAATAACATGCAAATGATTCATGCTTTCAACATATGCAAATATTACAAATATACTGTGATGCGTTAACAACGGACTGCCTGAACAGCGGTAATGGAACCATGAAAAATGATGTCTGGTATCCGGTCTGCATAATCCCTATATAAGCAGAGCTTATGGCATGTACACAGTACTTGAGTATTGAGAACAAGATAATCTTGGGATAGCTGCCGCCAGAGACAGTTGAGATCCAACCACGGCCAAGGATAGTTGAGACGTCACATTTGAGTATTGGGCCAGAAGTCAAGTAATATTGCAAGTGATAACAATTGTAAGAGTGAGTGCCCAATAAAGATTCGTTAAATCTGAGTTCGGATTCTGAGACGAATTTAGAGGAGTTATTAGACTAATGCCACCTCAAGTGTTATAATGCCACATGAGCTAAAATGGAGTCACAGCAGATGATGGAACTACTGCTGAAGGAAATCAGAGCTGGCCAAGAAAAAGCGGACACCAACATGAAATGTTACCTAGAAAAGACGGAGGCCAATAGGAAGGCCAGCCATAAAGAGTTGTTGGCCAGATTGGAGGCTGACAGTCCAATAAGAAAGCATGGCTAGAAGAGATGGCCGCCATAAGAGACAAAAGGGTGAACGACAACCACGATGAGATAACGGCCTGCCAAGAGATGGAGGCATGTCAAGAAGAGAAAAAGCTGACCTCACTGGACAGGAAACCTGAGGCGGCACAGAAAGAAGAGGTCCCCAAAGTAGACGCCGAAGTAATGCCGGTCAGAGGACCGAAGAAGAAAAGGCGCAAGGACCAAAAACTGGCCACAGAGCGCCACCGCCAGAAACCCCAGAAGAGACTGGCCAACGTCCATAGAGGGACGAGCCACCGTGCAACAGTGGCATGGCAAAAGGAGAAGAGAAGTGACATGAAGATGTCCTGTCACATGACAGTGGCACGACACATGAGAGACATCGCGAAGAAGAACCTCACTCAGGGAGCTGGTGGATTCCCGAGGAAGTGACTGGTCATGGCCGACAAGAAGATGACCTGCTGCGCAAGTGTGGCACAGCACAAGAGACTCAGATCTCAGGGAATCAGTTGGAGTCACGTGCAAGTGCACAGGGAGACGTACCACCACACGGAATCAGGACAAATATGGACATCAAAAACTGGACACTGTGGAGGTCAACCCCCTCCAAAACAGGGGGGGAAGGGAATGGCCCGTATAGGAGGAACCGGTAACGTAGAAGCACCGGTCTCCCTAGCAAGAATGAATGAGGAAAAAATGAAAGTGAGGAATGAATGTGAGGCAAAGAAATCTACACACACATCAAACTTTTGAAAATAGAAAGCTGAAATGTGACAGCAAAGAAGTAAGTGACTTTGATTTGCAGAGGAGTAGATGATATTGTGATGTGTTGCGCAATGGAGGACACCCCTCCCTCCCCAGCGGTACATGGTGGCATCGTAGCACTGTCGTTACTATGGTAATAGGCAAGTCAACACCCCGCCCCTCACCCCGCGGTGATGTAACACGCAACGCCGCAATTGCTACATACCTGTAAACAACTCCCAGCAGCGTTGCTACGTAACAGGCAAAGACTGCTACTATATAAGGGAACTACACAGCTGCCGAAGTCAGTTAAAAGTGTATCAGCCACTGAAGTGAGTTCTCCAGTCAGCAGTGCACAAGTTAAAGTGTATCAGCGGCCAAAGACAGTTCTCAAGTGAACGAGTTCTCAAGTCAGCAGTGAACGAGTTCTCAAGGCAGCAGCCTACGAGTTGAGTTGGAATATAGCAGCTGTCGCGGAAAGAAAAACCGGACGTGTGTGTAATCGTGCAATTGGGAGTGTGTGATGCAGTGACACTTGTATAGCTCCCATATCATAATTAATATGTGCAGACTACTGAGGACAGAGTGAATGGATTATTGCGAATAGGGTTATAAAGTGTGAAACCCCACAACAGTGTTTAATCAATTGTAGCCGATACTTGTAGGTTGTTAAATAAACCAATTAACAATCCGAACGGTGTCTTCAGTAAACTAAACACATTACAATATCATAAGAAATGGTCACATGTTCTCATAATGTTTTAAACAAGTAGTCCCCTTCTTCCAAAAAAAAGACAAATTCTATTAATGTTATTACTGCCAGTTCCTCAACCCAGAATGGAATACTTAAGTAGGATTGATGAGCAGCATGCTAAATGGTTAACTATGCTGCAATGCTGGCAGCTCTATAAAGGAGAAATGAGATGCCAATATCTCTTCTACTTACACTACTTACCCCCAGATGTCTGCAGCTGTAGTATCACAATTTAAAAGTATTTCATACCAAATTGAAGTATTTTTTATTTTTCTTCCCCCAACACATTTAAATATTGCCAATCCTCATTCCATCAAATCTCCATAGGCATTACCACCAGTAAAGGTACAATAGGACATATGGAGGATTTAAGACCACAGAAACTGTTTTCAAGACTAATTATACTGTCATATTATTATCTCTGTATTACTATATTATTATTATTATTATTATCAATTATTATAATTTGGCATACTATTTCTGTATTATTATATTATTACTATTTAGTATTAGTATTAATATTAATCTTTGACTTGTCCCATATCATGTATAATGATTCATGGATGAAATAAAATTGAATTGAATTTTAAGCTAATTCACTTCACTCCATATTGTCCCTTGTATGCACAGTTTAACCTTTAAATGCCAGACTTTTGAAATGGTGATAGCTTGTGCTGGCCTGAGTTTATTTCAATGCCTGCTGCTGGTGCATGTTTAAATGTCCATTCCTGTTAGGGTGTTTGCCCTGTATTTTAAAATGATGTACCTAATACAATTTTTTTGATAAATGCAAGAAGTTTTTCTTTTAATTTTGATGTAAACTGTAAAAATAGTTTCCCACTTCTTCACATAGCACATAGTTCTGCATTATAAAATCATTCCTGCTTGTAACACTTGAAATATTTTCACATTCTCTGGTGCCACAAAACAGTTGGAAGCAAAAAGGTCATTTGGTTCTTTGCTGGCAACTTTCACATCTTTGTTTCACTCTTCAGATATTCCAGTCTTTTGACTAAAGGACAGAAAAGTGAAAACATGTCCTTTCAAGAAAGGCTACAGGGAATATTCACTGTTCCCTACTTCAGTGCCAAGCCCTGCTATTCTGGCTGCAAGAGAATATTGCCCTTTCTATGGTTCCAACCCAATACCTGCATCACAGCTGAGATACAGTGTGAATTCAGTTTTCTGTGAGTTCATAGTGAATTTGAATATTGTAATTTCATGTTATCATACAATGGCAGTGAAATGTTTGGAAAATTATGAAACTGAAAAGCATTTGAAATGCAAGGTATGTGATGTGGGACTGTACTTTCTCAGGTGCTTCAAAGAGTACTACACAAAGGTGGGATTCTGTTACATGACACAGGGGTTGAAGCCTGTATGTACGTCAAGCAGCAAACAAGAAAAAAAATTTGCATATTCAATTTTACTATATTTAAAAATAAATACTTAGGACTGTGCATACGCTTCCACTAGCGGAGTGTGCACGAGCTTCCACTAGCTGTGTTTAAATGTCCAAATGCAGAAACTGATGTACTTTGCCTATGACGACCATACTCATTAGTGTACCTATTGATGCTCTTCAGATGTTAAAGGTTAAATGTAAATTTCATGAGAATACGAATTATGTAGTAGATGTCATGTCTATCCATGTTTAAAACTGGAGGCTACTCCAGTCAAGAGAAGTAAAAAAAAAAGAATGCAGGTGGAGAGTATTTGACACAAACCAATAGGGCATAAAACATGTTAACAACTGGGATTTTACTCTGCTAACTGCTTCTCTACATAACCACAAGGTGTACGAACCCAATATAACTTAGAACTTTTATAAGAGTAAACCATCTGTAACAGGTTGCATCTTTCATATCGAACTGTCCAAAAAAAAACAGGTAACAAACCAGTTTAAAAATGAACTGAAAAACTTACCTCAATAAAGAATTCTGTAATATTAGCTACTGATCTGCATATATGCAGAATAAGTTATACTTTTAATAATACTTCTATTGTTACATTTCTAATAAATTAATATTTATTATCATTACTTTAATTTGTAAAACGTATAACTTGGATGGCCATCCTGCATCAATGTATTTTGATCTCCAGGATGAATAAAAATGAATGAATGCGGACTACTGACACAGTTCGAGGTTAATGGATTCGAAATTAAAATACTACGCAGACTCAAAATAGTTGGGACAAATATGTAAACACTGGGTACTGCTTCATCAAATACAACAATAACACACCATAATGTTAAGATTTAAAAATGATTAACATCTTCAACACAATATAATATACTGAATTTACCTTTCGCTGCATTGATGTTGCTGCTACGAATCTCTGCGGGTTTACTTTTGTCTTTGTAAGCACCGGTATGTGCTTTACGACTATCCCCCAATCCAGATTGTGCGACCATCTCAAGTCACGTAACAAAGATATTATCAAGAATTTAAATATTTTATTTAGCAGCCGATGTACCCGGATTTCAACTTAGCAATTTAACACCCACGAACCCCTGACCTCATAACGCCATCCTCCGCTCAAAACACCCACAAACGTTCACGGCAGTCGATAGCAGTGATGCCAATACATTATTCTATACGCAACGAGAAAAGCCCATTGTGAATTTGAGAAGTTAATTCATGTTGGCAGTTTCGTGCAATCGTTCTTAGTGTGGTCAAAACAGGTGTGTTGCGGAAGAGGTTATGTTTTGGGGAGCATTTAGACCGTTTAGCTTCATTTATTGGTTGTGAATTCACGTGTTAAAATGACAAGTACAGATTCAGAAGAAAAGGACGGCGGACGTAGCAAAGTGGTTGATAATGCATGGTCTATAAAAGTACCCTCATTTCGCCCAGAGGACAATCCACACAGACTTTTAGAAGAAAGTTCATTTGCAACTTTGTTCCCCAAATACAGAGAGCACTATTTGAGGGAGTGTTGGCCTTTGGTTCAATCCTCTCTCGAAGAACATGGTATTAAGGCGGATCTTGATGTTGTGGAAGGTAGTATGACTGTGAGAACAACTCGGCGTACGTGGGATCCATACATTATCATAAAGGCAAGAGATATGATAAAGCTTTTATCTAGAAGTGTACCATATGAACAAGCAGTTCGCGTTCTTCAGGATGAAGTAGAATCAGATATAATAAAAATTGGATCGCTAGTGCGCAACAGGGAAAAGTTTGTTAAGAGAAGGCAGAGACTAATTGGGCCCAGTGGCTGCACTTTGAAGTCCATTGAGCTGTTGACCGACTGTTACGTCCTCGTCCAGGGTCAAACCGTTGCGGCCCTAGGCCCTTACAAAGGACTCCAACAGGTACGGCGTATTGTTGAAGATACAATGCGTAATATCCATCCCATATACAATATCAAAGCTCTAATGATCAAACGTGAATTGGCAAAAGATCCAAAGTTAAAGAATGAAAATTGGGAAAGGTTTCTTCCCAAGTTCAATAGCAAGAATCTTAGCAAACGGAAACAACCAAAGAAAAAGAAAACTAAGGAAGGGTACACACCATTCCCACCCCCACAAACAGAGAGCAAAGTGGATAAGCTGTTAGCAAGTGGTGAATACTTTTTGAAAGAGGAGCAGCGACGGGCTCGTAGGCTGAAAATTAAGGATGAAAAGCATGCAGCAGCAGCCAGATTTCGTGAAGAGAAACGGAATAAACCGTTCATTCCACCTAAGGAACCTCACTGCAAGTCTTCAGCAGCGAACCAGAATTCAGATATTGATATTGCAACACTGAAGAAGAAAATCAAGAATGCTCAAAAAAAGAAGTCATCATTGTCATCATAGTGTCCTGTCTTGGTAAATATATGGGTGTATTAATTTAATTGTATCCGGGGAACTCTGCAATCATGCACCTAGCTTTTTGATTCAACAATTCTTTATCATCATTCTTTACTTCATGATATGTTCCTGTTTTCTTAGTATTATCTTCACATATCAGATCTTGTAGGGGTACTTCTGCACTGACGTTAAATGTAATATTTATGTTCCTGAATTATGCTTTTATTCTTCCTTGGATATTAATCTATACTGAGCAGAACAAAATATCAGAACTGAAACCATTGTTGTTTTATAGTTTTGTTTTTATTTCTCTTTGTTTCTTATATTTATTTTGTATTTTCAGTACACATTTGAGAGTTTATAGTGTTGGTTATAGTCAGTATCTTGGGCTCTAGTGTCAAATGGTGGGATGATTGTTGAATAATGAATTGGAAAGCATTAGTAAGGAAGCAGCCATGGCCTTAGCATGGTACTGTACTGACACCTGTCTGGTGGGACAGAGGAGAATCATAAAAAACCTTTCAGGATAGCCAGTGTTTCAGCTGACACTCAACTGAACACTTTCCAAATATAAGTCTAGAGTGCTATCACTATGCAGATTTTCCTTCCTCTGTGTGTATTCTGTAGAACAGGAGGTGTTAAAGTTAATAATAATGTATCGTAGCACCCTGTAGCACGTTATTTATTTATTTCTGTTACTTATTAGCCATCTAACTGTTATGTTGGCAACTCTCAAATAGTGAAATATAATGTTAGAGTTGGCAACATCATTGTAAACAATTTAAGAACTAGGTTATGTCTTGTTACCTAAGTGATGTTTACTGTTATGTGTAACTATAGTTACGTGTGTAACAACAGTATCTTTATATTGTTATGTGTTACTATTGTTATAAGCCTGTATGTATATATAAGGCGTACTTCTGTATCAAATCTCAGTGTCTTAATAAAGCAGGAGTAGAGTGAACACTGATTCTCACTTATCATTCGATCCACGTGGAAGTAACAAAAATAACAGGTTATGGGCCCAGGATCATATCATTGATAAGTGTAAAAAGTACAGAAGTGAAAAGTGTTATTTAAAAGTGATCCTTTGGACTGACAAAGAAACAAGTTTCATCATGGCCACTTCGAAGCCCTTCGCGAATATTGATAGGCTCAAAGGACGCGAAAATTATAGAGAATGGTGCTTCGATATTCAAAATATTCTAGTGATTGAAACTGTGTGGTCAGCAGTCGAAGGATATCCTGCAGAAGACACAACGCCTATATCCATCAAGAAACAAAAGGACGAGAAAGCAAGAGCCATCATTTGTCTGACATTGGAGCCCCAAGTTAAATCTTACGTCGTCCAGACAACAACAGCAAAGGAAGCCTGGGACGCGTTGGAAAGAACATTCAAAGATCAGGGAGTCAATAGTTGGATAATAAGTTGCGCAACACATCACAGTATTTTAACTGATTTGTGCTCTTTGAAACTTGAGGACTATAAAAGCATGCAGGAATATGTTAATGCCTTCATGTCAATAAATCTCAGACTAGTCTCAATGGACAAAAAAATAGATGATGAGCTATTAGCAGCATTAATGTTAAAGGGTTTAACTAAAGAGTATTATCCCATGCATATGGCGCTTGAAAACTCCAACGTAACTCTGACTAGTGAGCTCATTAAATCTAAGCTATTGCAAGACACTGAATTTGGTAAAAATGCAAATTCAGATTCAGCCTTTCTGTCCAAAGATAAAATTAAACGTAAACCAGCAAAATGTCAAATTTGTGGTAAGCTAGGCCACATAAACAAAAACTGTTGGTTCAAAGAAGTTCCAGAAGGAAAGTAAAGCTTATCGGTTATCAGATTCCCGCAGTCCGTCTCAAATAATTGTGGCAAGAGATGTAGAATTTCTGGAAGAAGAAATAACAAACAAGAAAGAAAGTGAGAAAGGATTTCAGCTTAAAGACATTCTTCCAACTTTGTTAAGTTTCTACCTCGACTCACAAGATGAAACAATGATTCTGCATGAACAAAACCCTGAAGAAGAACAAGTACAAGATGAAGGAAATGAAGTTCCATTAGAGCCAGACGGTTTAGAACAATTACAAGGAAACTTGGAAGAAAGAAGATATCCACTTCGAAACAGGAAACAGAAAGAATTTCCAGACCAGCATCACCAGTTCTTCTTTCCGGCACTTTGTCAGTCGGCTTCAGTTCTTTTCCAGAACAACCGAATTGTGAATTTTCTGGCCTTCCATCTATCAACTTGGCTTGGTCAGCCTCTTCCTTAGGTGAAAGGTTCAAACTTGTTGCTTGGGATAAGAAGTTGCCTTTCTTAAAGGAGAGACACGTAAAACAAGGGGAGGTTGAATCGACTGAGAAATCCAGACCAGGATCAAAACTGTTTGTTGTCAGAACTTCTGCATTTGTCTTAAGTTTCTTTGTAACAGAACTGTCTTTTGACGTGCAACTTGCTTTATAATCCATCAAATTCTCCATAAGCATAATCACGGTAGAGGTACAATAGAACATATGGAGGCCAACGTGCCGAGGGGACCTAATATGGATTCCGCCTCACGCTATACGAACTCTAACTATTGTACTCTACTGTAATCTATTGTAAACAATTCTAAGTATTGTAAACTTTAATCTCTCATTGTAATCTACCAATGTACAGTAACTGACTTGTCCTATATCGTGTAACAATGATCTGTAGAGATGAAATAAATAAATAAACATTTAAAAGTTTTAAACATTGATAACAGCTACACATGACACAATAAGAGGAAGTACCCATCACCATAGGACACATGGGTGCATAGGCGAGGGCATGTCCCTAAAATTGAACTTGTGGATGGAAGCACAGCAGTTTTAGAGACACCTGAAGATGACCAGTGTTGGTCAAAACATGTACTGTGCATACTCCAGTGATGTAAAAGAGATTTTAGATTTTAAAACTTTTAAAGGCTTTAGAAAGCAAGCTGCATGTGAGATGGCTAATTACCAACAAGAGTGTTAAAGTTAATTTGATTTTTTGTTTAGATCCTGTAAGTGTTTTGGATCTTCTATGATGGATGCCATTTTGGATTTGTCTACAGGAATCCTTTAGATGAAATAATTTGTTACAGTATAAGTTTCATGTTGCTTTCTTCTGAACTTGAATAACAAACTTAATGTTTCTTCTCTCAAATCACAACTGCCTATAAAGCACTGTATGTTGAAAGGATGTTCAATGAAAGCAGGTTGATGAGCAAAATAATGTTTGGTTTTTGTAGAATTTTTAAATTGAAACTCAATTCATGGAGTTTCATATCCAAAACAATTACAGTGTATTGCATAAATTTGTCACTTAGATACTGCTGTTCTTGTTAATGTCTAATCTTCCATAATGCACATACTTGTACATTGGAAGAACATTCATCATTCATCAGTAATCTGTCAGACGACAGGTCCACAGTGTCTTCCAGAAGAGTTCCTCCACTTAATGCGATCTAGAGCTTTCTCCTTCAAATGAGAATATCCTCTTCTGTCCCCAAGGTCATCCAGCATCTTCTTACGTCTTCTGGTCACTTCTGTCCGCTCCTCTCTCTTTCCTTCAATAACTTCTTTTAGAAGGCAGTTACTGCGTAAGATATGACCAATCCAGTTAGCCTTCCATTTTCTTATTTCGTGTAGGATATTCCTCTGCTCACTGACTCTAAATAACACTTCTTCATTTCTCACATAATAGGTCCAACTGATCTTCTCCATCCTTCTCCAACACCAAATTTCGAAGCTTTCCAGGTGTTTCTGATCTACTGCCCTAAATGTCCAAGTTTCAGCCCCATACAAAGCAATGCTCCAAATGTAGCATTTCACTAGTTTCTTTCTCAAATTTAAGTCCAATTTGCTGGTAAAAAGATTCTTCTTCTTGCTAAATGCAGCTTTTGCCATGGCAATCCTAGATTTAATTTCACAAGTACACCTTCCATCATCTGTTAACAAGCTACCCAAATATTTAAAACATTTCACATTCTCCAGTTGTTTTTGGTCTATCTTTATTGTGACTGGGGTTGGTTGTCTCGAAATTTTCATTACTTTTGTTTTCTCCACATTCATTTCCATGCCATAGCACCTTCCAATTTCAATTAGTCTATCAATCATGCCCTGTAGCACAGTTTCTTCCTTAGCCATTAACACAAGGTCATCTGCATATATCTCAGTTTGAATAATTTGCCCTCCTAGTTTGAAGCCTCCAAGCCTATCCAGAGCTTCCTTGGTAAGGCATTCGCTGTACAAGTTGAACAAAATTGGTGATAAACAGCATCCTTGTCGAAC